AATTAATGCAGTCTACACTGATTTCCAAAAAGAGTTTGACAAAATTGATCACAAATTGCTTCTCAACAAAGTCGCTTACAATGGAATCATATCTTATATAATTAATAGAACTCAAAAAGTTTTATTACATGACTTCGAAATGTATTCCGGTCTCGTCGAACGTCCGTCAAGAATCCATTCTAGGTCATTTACTCTTCATTTTAAACTCATTGATAAACAATGACATAAAAATCTGTTTCCAACATTCTAAGTTTCTTCTCTATGTAGATGGTTTAAAAGTCTATGAAGCCATAAGTAACAAACAATATTGTGTTAATTTCCAGCAAGAAATAACTAAATCGTTTTTCCAATTATTGCTTCTCCAATAGGTAAGCTTTTTCTTAGTCTTCCCAAGTGTCCTGTTATAACATTTACCAAAAAGAAAAATAAAACGGAATTAAACCACCGCCTTGCTTAATACATTTCTACGTAAAGTTAAATTGTCTTCGTGATCTTGGGGTCCAGTTGAATTCGAAGCTCCACTTAGATGTTCATATAGATGGTATAGTTTGTAAAGCTTACCTACCAAATGTTTGGTTTCGTTTTTGCATTTACACAAATCTATAACTAGACCTCAATTTGGAGTATTCAGAACCTGTATGGAATCCTCTGTACAAGAAATATAATGATATTCTGGAGATGTTACAACGCAATTACCTTCTGTTTAATGGGTTCGATTGTCAAAACTTAATTGAGAGTAGGTATATCGTCAGTGGAAAGGAAGAATGCTAAAGCACCACATGGGCGAAAATGAGTTTTATACGTTGCTGAATAGGTCTTTTTTTCTGCGCTAATCTGTGTAGGTCTCATATCACCCTGTCTATTTTTTTGGCGCTTTAGCAATTAGGATTTGTTCTGTTTTTATTAAATCATAGCCCGCGTAGCTACTAAAGCGACGTATTTTCAGTGTATTAGCAACAAATGTCGCATAAGTATTTTTTCACTGGCAGTGTTCTGAAATTCACAACATAAGTATTTTTGCTATTTTAGATGTCGATTGATGCTGGTACTTTAGCAATTCGAGTTTTTGAATTATTATAGTTTATTGATATTTAAGTAAGTAGGTATTTATTCATAAGTGTTATTTAAACCTAACTCACTTTAAAGCTGATACTCATTTAGCAATTTAGTTGTTTTGTCAAAAAGGTTGTTGGAACTGTTTAGCAGTTTTGGTTAGGTACTGGATATTTGACTATAATGAAGGTTAGAAGTTTTACCCTGACTAACATTGGATTATTTTCCGGGTTCTTTTTCTAAAGCGACAACTATTTTGCTATTAAATTAAACCTGGTATTTTCATCAAATATAATGCAAAAAATAGGAACTCGATGATATTTTAAAAGCACAGTGTAACATTAATAGGTACTTAAAAAGATATAAATTTTTTCCGCAATAATTTCCAACTTTGATTCTCTTTTGCCACAAGTAGTTTTAGATCTTTAGTCTTTTTTTTCTTTCCACTGACGATATACTTACTACCTGGTTCCTCGCACAGCTTATATACCTATGTGTGGTGCGCTATCGGCGTTTGTTTGCTACTATTATAGATGCTGGCTTGTTCACCTCTTCATCGCAAGGTTGAGACTTACAACGGTGAGTTCAACGGGATTGACATACTTACTTTTTCTGAGTAAAAACGTTTTTAAAAAGCAAATTCGGACAACTCTTAGGTATCAGGCAGTCTGTCTATGATGCAGTGTGTACGAAATTGTAAAAATTGTTCGTGTTCGTGATGACTGCGTGCAATTGCAGAGAGATATTGATGCAGTTGTTAGATGGAGCGAAAGTAATTATCATTTAATGTCACCAAATGTAAATCGATCACATTTACTCGTTCTAGATCCCCGTCTTAATGCCATATAAATTAGCAGGTACACCTCTTGAGCGAGTTGCAACTATACCTATGTGATCTGGGCATTACCTTGGATGCCAAACTGAATTTTCACGAGCACAATTAAACTAGGCAGACGCTAGCAAAGCTCTAGGTTTTATAATAAGAATGTCCTCAAATTTTAGGAACCTTATGACCATTAAACTTTTCTACAACACATGTACGTAGTAAATTAGAATATAACTCAATTATTTGGAGTCCACATGAAAGTTATATACGTACCCTTATGGTTGAAAAAATCCAGCGTAAGTTTGCATGGTTCCTCTACAAACGTGAATATGGATATTATCCATTTTCATACTTTCTTTCATGTTCTCATCATTTTATTTCAATGTTTGTTTCTGGTATGGTAGGCCTGGACACGTTGGAACTGAGGCGAAAATATGGACATATCTTACACTACTATCATTTGATAATTGGGAAGATAGATAATCCATCGGTGCGTGAATAATGTCCCCGATCGATATTTGCGTGGTACTGGTAGGCGGCGTCACCGACTACTTGCTTGTCCGCCGAGCTGGCGGTCTCCTGGTATTTGTCCAACGGGCCGGGCGATTGCTATGATCAATGACCTTCTACAGAGCAATCCTGATGCAAACTTTTTTTTTTGATGGTGTTAGTACAATGTCCAGATACATTTTGACTTATCTCAATGACTCTTAACACTTAATTGTAGAATAAATAGGTACTTAATTTGTTTTTGAATTGTTTGTCGGTTTTTTATTGTTGGGTTGATTTTTTATTATTTAAATATTAATATGACGGTCTCATTGACCGAGTGGTCGCATTTGCGACTCCAGGGCAAGGGGTCGGGAAAAGCATTATTGGGTTTTTAAAAATTCTCAGTAGTAGCACGGAGTCTGGAAATGTGTCCGGTATATGGCAATAGGCTCACCCCCTATTACATGGGACTCATAACATAAATAGTGAAAAGTGGGTGTTACATTGTAGTCGCATTAAGTGCCGTAATGTGCACTACTTTACTTATTGTTCAATCTACTTTACTTACTAATGACTTAAGACTTAACTGCCTACTACTTTACTTATTAAGAACAACAATGAAATTTGATTTCATTGTTGTTCTTAATTTTAGTTATTAATGTAGATAAATATTTTAATTGTGTATTTAGTGACAAGTAGACTGGTAGATATAATAGTGTTAGTCTATAATATATTGTTGTAAATTATAAACAAATAAATTTCGTTTTCGTCCCGAAGTAAAATAGTTCTGTCTCGGTGTGGTAATACAAGTTTTACAAATAAATAAAATGTTGAACCATTGCAAAAAGCAAACTTCGAGAGTTGTTTCGTCGCAAGACCAAAACGAAATACACACGGTGTAGAGTGGGGGGTTGGCGAGTTTAGTTTATTCATTCTCAACTCCCTATTTTCCTCCAGATAATAACTCGTTTGATAACCAATATTTACAATCTAAATTGGCTTAATTATAAACTGCGTTTAAAAAAAACTTCAACCCTTCACCCCTTTTTAAGTGTAACAAACACTTGTCTGAAACTGCATCAAAATCGGTTTAGCCAATCACGAGATAATCGCGAACAAAGTTACAGATCTAACTGTCCAAATCTTTTCCACGAAGTCGGTTAAAATACTCACGAGAAGCAACCTATTTGTTTCAATATAATCAAAGAGTGAATAAACCCACTATTCTCCATAGCTAAATAGCATAAATAAATTCACTTATTTCACTAGCTTTATTTTGATAAGTTAATTCAAATACATTTGGAAACTCGCCATTTCGATAGTTTACTTTTTTGTAAATTATTACCTTACATGAAAGATTTGTATTTTCTTTAAACATTTGTTTTACAAGGAAAATTTAAACCCTATGCAGACTTATTTGTCGCGGAGAACCTAACGAGTAACCGGGGCTTCGGCTCGACGTGCAGGAGAAGGAACGGGGTGGTTTTTAGTCAGTAAGAGTCTGATACTCCCTCCTGTTTCACCCAGGCGGGAGCAGCGATCCGATGATTTTCCCCATTAAAAAAAATGCAGACTTATTTCGCTATTAAACCATTAAACATTTTGTTGTGTAGACCTGGTGTCAGACAGACGATGAAATTCGTAGATCCGTACGAAAATAAACGAAAACAAATAAAATTGGTATAGCCTTATTTATTATTTGGTTATTAGTAACAAATATACTATTTACAAAATTAGCCTACCAAGTAGAATTGTCTTAGAGATGTAGAATTAAATCTTATGTAGTTACATCTTTTACCAAAAAAATAGGTAATTAGAAAATTTCGTCAAACTTTTTTACTTTCACTTAAAGTATGGGCAAATACTGACACACCACTATCTTTTTAGACAAAAATGCATCAAATGACTTACAGAAAATAAAAATTATACATCATTTTTAACACAATTAACAAAATTAAATTATTACACAGTCAAGAATTCAGTAAAATTGTTTACTTACATAAATAAGTATCCATTTGCCCACTAGCCCATAAAGCGACCCTAAATAACCTATATATAGACAAAGACATCTATCACTCGTGTGAGACAAAAAATATCAAACACGGTGCACAATATAAGAATCTTATATTCAACCATCGTGACTTCAACAAAGCATTAGCATAATGCTAGATTAGCTAGATAGTGTAAGAATGTTATAGTGAGACATTGTACTTTATGCTGATGGAGATCAGATTTATGATACCAAATTAATTGCACTTATACAACAATTTCTAAGTATTCTATTATTAAAAATGTTTGGAGATATAACAGATTAGATGTTACACCCAAACTTCAACATGAAGCTTTCGGTTAACACCTGAAAAGTATCCTAACTATATAAAGTGCTACTAAAAGTAGTGAAAACTAGTTTACTTTCAATATTGATATGGATGCTAAGAATCAGAAAGAACAATATTGTTACTATAGTTGAGGTCACGAACTTGTTAAAACTATAGACAAATAAATCTATGAAGCTTACAACTAGGGTCGCTCTAGTCACCACTACGCGGCGACCTATCTGTACTTGCGCGGTCTTGCGCGTCGCCATTCTGTCGCGGTGATCCAGAGCGCGATCGAGAGGCGGATTGATCGCGAGAAGCCGAGCGGTCGCGGGACCTGGACCGAGAGCGGGAACGGGAGCGAGACTGAGACTTGCTCGGGCGACGTTCTTCCTCACGCTTCGGCGACGCCTCCTTGCTGCGAGAGCGAGACCTTTCCCTGTAGACGTAAAATATTATTACAGTATGCTCACAGGTATCTTTGTTTGATTATTATTTACATATCTCGAGATTTTGATGTCTGTGCATTAAATGAAAGTATTAAAAGATTAAAGCTATTAGTAACATTATTTACAGAAATTAAACAGGGGTTTATTTAATACATGGTGAGGATGATGCTAATTAGTTGTATTAGTTAATTGCTAATTTTTAAAGCAAAAAGATGGATGGGATCCAAACCAGAAGCCATGAGAGAACAAGAGGTGTAACTACATGATTAACAGCAAATAGCTCATTGTTACCCAACATCAAATGCTCACCTTGGAACGGCTTCTCTTCGTGATGCGGGAAAACATGGATCGAGTTAATAATGTATTTGTAATGTGCAATCAATATTAATAACATTGGATGAATTTTGTTAATATGTGAATGCCAATGGGTTCAGGTAGTGGATTGACTGACTAATCTGACAATAATGCTCTTTGTGGTTTGTGTGAGATTATATTTCTATCAAAATATAAATGTTCTAAAGTTTCAAAGTAAAATTTTAAATTAACAGCACAGCATGTCAACGTGTTCTGTACACATTTCAACATGTGAATAAATGATATTAAAAACAAGTATTCAAACACGTTGGACAGAGAAAAATAACCTCACAGAATTTGCACAACCGTCAGACTTGATTGAGAGCACACATTGAATGGACTTACTTGGAGGCAGCTTTCGGTGATCGGGACTTAGACCTGGAGGCCGACTTCCCGCCGTTCCTCTCCGCCGAGGGCCGCGGAGACCCCGAGCGACGGTCAGATCTACGGGAGGCCGACCGACGGTCAGATCTACGGGACGCCGAGCGAGACCGCGACTTCGAACGACTGCGATCCCTAATCGACGCCGAAAACGAACGCCAGAAATGGTAGTAATAGCTGGGTTTAGTTACGTCCACTACTAGACAAGTGACTAGAGTTGAACCTGTCATCATGCATTTACTTCAAGAGTTATAAGAATACATTTTTAGAATAATGACAGACCCAACTCCTTCATCGACACACAGTTTAACGTGAGGCAAGTACATAAGTCGTTGCGTCACATTAGTATTATAAAATTATTGCTATCTACAAAAGTAAAGTACTATTGGCTAAGTACTTACAGTTTTAAATTTTGCTCAGCGCAAGTTATAACACACCTAGCCAAATGAATACTAGGTTAATTTGTATACATATTCATGCATATATTTTGATTTTATTGGTTGTATTTACTGCTGACATTTGAGGAAAGAGACAAGAGATGCTTACATGCAAGCTTTAATTTATAAGAATTAGAATTTAAGGGAATGGAGTCAGTTGAGAAAGTCTTAGCAGAGTATTAGTGCATAATATCAACAAAACCGACATTGACACGTCTTTCGTGTGTAGTAAGAGGTCGCAGTCGTCTACCAACTCGTAATTGCTTAGAACTATAGCATGATTTGGCACTAAATATTATTCTTTCATTTGGATATATTTAAGTATGGCTTATAGCCTCAATTTCCTATTTTTACATGATTTTAAAAAGTCAATAAGAAGCCCTGCTATGCAAAATATTTGGACTCTTGGTTACAAGTTCATTTTAAATTTTTAGCTGAAAATGAAGTTCTATTTTAAAATGGTTACGCATCTAAGTGTGAATGATAGCAAATCATATATCTACTGTAAGGATTTGATTTCTAAATGATAATGAACTAGCTTGGATATCCGCAATTTTTTTCTATAAAGCTAATATGAAGTATCAAATTATTTACATAGCAGGGGCGAGATGGGGAAATTCTGATCGATACTCACTTGGATCTGGATCTGCTGCGGGACTTGACGACTGGGCTCTTGCTCTTTGGCCTAGATTTGGAGCGAGAGCGGCTACGGGAGGAGCGACGGGAGCGAGACCTGGAAAATGTACAACAGTTTTTATTATACACATTCGATGCTTATGTAAAAAGCAATGTGTTTAATGTTTCCTCAGTTAGAAGTTTATCAGCAAGAGCTTTCAGCCCCGAAAGATGGTAAATAATATAGTATCATCATTAAAATTTTGTATTAACTTAAATAATTAGTGTATGTATGTTAAAGAAAAAATGTTTCTTACTCATGTTTTATACTATATGTATTGATTTTGCTGTTCAATAAACAGTATAATTATTATTAAACTTTTTTCCATTATGTACTTTCCTCTCAGTCAAACATACAACAAATTGTATAAGTATTATATTTACCTGGATCGGCTGCGTCTGCGGTCACGGGAGCGGGATCGGCTGCGACTTGAAGAGGAGCGAGTGCGGCGGCGAGAGCCACGTCTAGCCTCAATCAGACGGATTCGTCGTCCGTTCAGTTCCGTTCCATCCAGCTTCTCAATAGCCGCGCGCATATCAGAATGGGTGGCAAACTCTACCACACTGTAATAAATAATATAATTTACTAAACATGTTGAGATTTACAAGATCTATGTTAGGAAATATAGACATCCTCAGTTAGAATGCTATCATCAAGAGCTATCAGCCCCGAAAGATGGTAAATGGTATAGTATCATCATAAAATTGTAATATTTTTCGTATTGTCAATGGTTTTAAAGTCAAAGAGTGACTTACCCTTCGTTTCTATGCTGCTTATGAGCGTCAGCGTAAGTGACTTCACCAGCTTGACGCATGTAATCCTTCAAGTCCTGTAAAACAATGAAGCATGTTAACAAAACACCTGAGACAGTTTTTAAAGCAACTTTTGCAAAAGTAATCATCAGAATTAGAAATTATCATCAAGGTTTTCAGCCCCGAAAGATGGTAAAAATACGATCTCATCATGACTTTTGCAAAAGTTTGTTTGTTTTATGTGACTGTGGACCTAACCTCAATATACTATGTCGGTTACACAACTTTGCGAGCAAATCTCCTAACGAAATAAAAAGATGAAACGATAGATATGCTTGTAACAGTGTTTTCGTACGCGTCTCTCAACAGTTATCATTGTTTACGGTTTGTGTAGTTGTCCTCGCCCTCCATCGACCTCCTGTCACCAGTGACGACTCCAATGGCTTGTTTGTCCAGTCTGTCCTCTATCATCTTGATTCTCAAGCTCTGTATGCTTTGGTATTCCTACCGCATTTCTCCAGGTCTGTCTTTCTATTTGACACTTTTGTTTATAAATCCTTCTTAAGACATGTATTGTCTCGACCAAGTTGAAAAATTTGACATCATTGCGGTGCATCTTTTCCTGCTCTCTCTCTCTCTAGCTTCCGGCTGTGTATTTTGCAATCACTCTTTGATTTACAGTCTGCAACAGGTCATCAGGACTTCGCATTTCTATTATCCTCTAGGAAACCACATCGGTATCTGCTGCACGTCCAAGCAATTCCTGTCTCGTCTTTCAGTGCTGCTTCCTTTATCTCCGGTCCCCAATCCGTGATGGTCCACGTAAACAATGATACCGTATGAATTGTCGTATACGAAAAGCTGTTAAAGCCGTAAAAGAAATAAAGTTGACATACGAACGACATGATCTGCATGGCAGTCCACAATAGTGAGGACACTATTGCATAGTACTTCACTATTGCGAACAGACGATGTTAAAACTTAAAGTTAACAATGAAATAATGAATTTAAATGGGAGATTGCACATAACGAGAAACGGCTCCTGTTGTCTGTGCCCCCCTATCGACTTTACCTTGTCGGGGGCCACCGGGGGCTCGTCCGGCTGGAGGGGCGGGCAGGGTTGGGGGGGCGTCATCACATCACCAGCGCGCCGTGACCGATCCTAACATCGCCTCAGACCACATCGCACACAGCGCTACATCGAGGACCCTGGCCACGATACGCCACCTTCTGTTGTTTTTAAAAATTATCTATAAAGCTCGTAAGTAAGTTTGGTACAACACTTGTATAAAAAAAATACTGTTTTTAGGGTAATGAATGTTATGCATAGTGCTAAGTTTGAGAGTTTCAAATTATGTTGTGTTAAGCTAAAGTTATGATGGTTACTATTAGGTAAATTATTTTGTATTTTTTATGTTTTATATTAGTATAAAGCAAATAGGGTGGTGTGGAGTTCTCGAGGCAGTGAAGTGGTCCGACGATAGGTCCGTATCCTTAGCCGGTGTTTGATTGGGTAACGTTCGTCTCGTCGTCAGTCCAGGCAATATTCAGTCCGAATATAACGCTAACTCGTTTCTTTAAAGTGTCATCTCTATTCTTCATCTATGCGTTTTTCTCTGGTTTGCATTGGATTATCCTCTAAGTCCTCAGTGAGCAGCATTGGTTTGTCCTTTCCATGCAGTGAGTGCCCTGTGACGGTCGTTTTCTCCCGTTCGCGACTAAAGGTACGTCTGTCCAGGTGATGCAGGCCGCCCAGCCCTCAAGTAATAGTGAAGATGTCCAGGACCCTGGGTGATAGGTGATGGAATGATGATGGACCCAATGGTGTCCCGGCTCGATTTCTTACCTGCCAGCTGATGCGGCTAGACAAATTTTCGACGACTAGTCGATACTCGGTGCGCGTCGGCGGGCCGTATCTGTAACTGTAGTCACTGTAAACAGAAAACTCAATATTATTTCCTTATTTAGTCAATGTGTTATGAGAAACTAAATATTAACTTTTAAGTGGGGATTAACTATGTGAAAAATAATTGAGTATAAAATTAACTTTTGTCTTGTATTCGAGATAATGATTTCCAAATGACACCATTCTCATATCTTTGTATGGAAGATATCTTAATTTAATACCAAGAAGGTTATTTTACGTAAAAACATAGCAATCACTTGCATATTATTATGCAATACTTCCATATCAAACGGATAAAATTATCAGATGAACAAATGTTATCTGTAACTACTTTTAAATGGTATCAAATGAGATAAGACTATTCTACTGTACTTACAGAAATGGGCTGTAATGACAAGTAATAAGACTAATATTATTAAAATAAACAACATAACGAACACTAGACAATGTGTGTGAATTATACTTTGTTGGTTTTAAGGGACAAAATTGGGACTACTAGTTTTTAGACTTTGAGTATGTCAATAGCATGAGGTTTGTTGTGTTTAAGACTGATCACATAACTGACAAAAGGAATAAAATGTATAACAAAACCAGATAATTATTCAGCCTGGGACATTTTGTAACACTTTAGTAATATGGGGGCCATGAGGGGTGTAATATCTTCATCTACTTCTATAGTAGTTACTAAATTACTTGCTAAAAATATTTAGCGAAAATAACTATGCCGTGTTGAAATTGCAGTGTAGTGTAGTGTGCCTACTTATGAAAACTGTAATAATAAAGCAACAAAAAATGAACAAAAACTTAACTAAGAACACAGGGCCGTTATGCAAAAACAAAATAATCACAAAATGATTGTTTGGAAACAAACAAATGCAAAGAATGATGGGATATCAAAACAATGTGTTTGGAATGGACCATGAAGCAAAGAATTTCAAGTAGATAAATGCCTGAGCATGCAGACATATTTGTTAGCAAGAATAGCAGATTTAGGAAATTGTTTCTAAAGAATTTAAGGTTAATAAATATCTGGAAAGAGTTTGTGAAAATTTTGTAGGATCGACAATTTCATAAAATTGTGCAAGCAACAATACAATCCCTTAAATACTTTGGGTAGAGTCCAAGAGGACATAAGAATGCGAGAGGGAAATGTTTCATGGGCGCAGCTAGGGTTAGCTCTCGGGAACATACTGTCAACCACCAACCCGTTTCACCAGAGTGACTATTACAGGCTTTACCTTTCTTTTATCACATCCTACGTCCTGGGTAGGAGTGATAGGTTGCTAAAGTCTTTGGGAAAGAAAGCCTGGCTACGCCCATGTGTTGTTGCATATCATGCCCGTGTTCGCAATACAGACGGTTCACGTCTCGGCGGCGGGCGTCGCGGCGGCGGCGGCGGCAGATCCCGGCAGCGCCAGCGGTCCGAGCCCCGCGGCATGCCGCGAGCCCTCTCCACCGACACCCTACAACATAGCGACACTTACTCGTATCGCGACCGGCCGCGGTCGCGCTCGTAGTAGCGGTCGCGCCGGTAACGGTCGGCGCTGCGGTCGATGCCCCTGGCCGGCTCCACCACCACCCTGCGGCACACCCACGGTCTACTGTTAGCACTGCCCACCCCAACCTTGCACTCATACCGTGCACACCATCTTACACTTTACAGCTTACCAATTGGTAGCCAACTCAAACGAGGGACTCGAACCCAAGTCAAATCAAATTTCAAAATGAACAATAAGTCAATGCAACAATTTAGAAATACATTACATCATTAAATTGAAAATAAATTGACCTGAAAATAGAAGTTAACCAATTACAAAACTGTGATTTAGTTTGCCAATGTTAATGACACTTAATAATAAAAATAATTTAGAATAATAAAACTTTGACAAATGACCTTATCAGCATGTGATACATACCAATTGGTAAGCAGACATTTACGATGGAGTAAAGGCAGCCCACCAGTATACATCAACTTTCATTATTCAACATAATCCTCAATTTGGAAATTTTGAATAAAAGATGTTATCAATCAATAGAAATAAATAAAAAAAAGAATAATTAAATATGAATGAATGCAGTCATTGATTTCATACAAATCTCTTACTTTCATCCTTGATCATAAATATCCGTTCTCCATACACACACAAATATGTGGAGCCGGCTGATAAAGGAAATTAATTATTAAATTGAAAATAACACAAATTAAAAGAATTTAAACTATATTCTACTTATGACTTTTTATAGATAGGTAGCAAATACTTTTATGGGGATTTGTCAGGAAGATTTCATAAGGAACATTTCAACAACTACTACAAGTGGTAATAAATCATAATTTCTAAACTATTTTTATACCAAAGGCTCTCAACATGTCCATATTTCAAATAGGTAGCTAAACTCATACTCTTTTATAAAAGAAAAGAATCAATGTTACACTACAATCATGTATTGTTATAAAAGTTCATACCTTTCTCCTAGTAGTTCTTTTCCGTTAAGTTCATAAACTGCGTCATCTGCATCTCGATAATCCTCAAATTCCTGTAAAACACAAAATTAAATTAATAACTTTATTATATGGTGATTTTAATAAGTTTTTGTTTATAGGATTTATGGACTGGTTATATTTACAGTGTATCGAACACTGCAATTGTAAGTTTAAAAAATTAACATTACACTAGTCATTGCATTAGGTGCCACTGTATTTTGTGGTATTAACAGTACTATTTCGTGTTAATAAAAAAATATTATTGACCTCCTCTATATAACATTTTAGGTTAGAAATAACAGCTTAATTGGTTCAGGTTTATCAGACTCCAACTGATCAGTCTTCATTTAACATATTTTCTCTTATTTGACTCCCACAATACTTATGGGATATAGACAAAAATGTTGATAGTGAAATGTATAATTATATAGGTAGCTATTTGTGTCTCAAAGGGAAGAAAACTATGTTTAACAGCTATCAAAGTACAGCAGTTATAAACTGTTACATGCTGTCTACAGTTCATTTCATACACATATTATTTAACAGGAAATCTCATTATTATTATTATCATCCATTATTTACAGGAAAAAAAACCTAATTTCTAACTTTCACGCAAATTATTTCAGACCAGTTTGTTGACATTATATACACAACAAACTTTTACGATAGACGACTGTTCTAGAAATTTAATGCGAGTTGTCGTGCACAATTTATATGAACTATATATTAGGAACTTAGCATTCATGAAAACGTAAATAAGAATTTTGAACTTACCACAAATCCATAGCCGTTTTTGATAAGGATATCCCTTATCCTTCCGAAACCTTTGAAAAACTTCTCCAAGTCCCTGTCTCGGACGCCGAACGGTAGACCGCCGACATAAACACGTGACCCCACCATATTTTCTGTAAACCAAGTATTTAGATTGTTTTGTGAATTTATAGTATTTTCATAAGTTATGCAATAAACAATAAACTACTTTTGTGCTAAATCTAAATGTAGACCGCCATCAACGCGAATATAGTTTGCCAAACGAACGCGCCATGCGCGTGGTGATTTTACATTTTCCCGCGTGGGATTTACAGATTGGTTAATTTTATACTGTACAGAATATTGTAATTGTAATAATATACCGATTTAAACACAAAAAATATCACCCATACACATCTTCAAATTATAATTTAAAGACATGATTTTTATCGATTTTAACGATTATACGTGGACCTGTAGATTAGAGTACCTACGCATCGAATAAAAACATCGATGATTTTAACATAGTAGTCGCCAAAATAGTATCAAATTTACACATAGTTACCGGAATTACGACTTCAGCAATAAACACACTGATAGGACACAAATAATAAAGCACCAAGTCAAGAGCGACAACAGCCCGCGTCTTGCAAAACTAATCAATATGGCGGCTTGACCCGGGCAAAATATAAGTAAAAATTATGATGATATTTACCTTACTTCCTAGTATGTAGCACTCGACAAATTAAAGAATTTGAATGGTTGATTTACTTTAAACACTAGGAATTATCCATTCAATAATAATTAGCTTTCAATTCAATTTTGTTACACTTTAGACACGTGCACCACTAACAACACGAACACCGGAAAAGGCCTCGTCGTCGCTGCTTAGCTTGTCGCACGTCGTCACTGCAAGTGATGTGAAAAGCGAATGAAGGACGCATCGAGTCGGATTCGTAACATCGAGTACGACGAGCGAGACGGAGCGAGACAGAGCGACGCGTCGCTGTCGCTTCGTCTCGCTCGTTCGCAGCGAAGACTTAACGACAGCTAATCATCGTTTAGAGAATCGATTCATTACTTAAAATGTATAATTTATTCGCTAGTGAGAAATAACTATGTAATTATATAATTAGAAATTAGACATTTCTATAACTACCACATAGTTACCACATTATTTGTCATTTGTAAATTAAACGGTTATCGATTTCCATTGTTAATCATGATTACTTGAAATAGAAAGAAATATGTTAATATGTGTAATTGTAAGGGTAAATACACATAAAACTTTGTAACATGAGCATAACTCTTAACTGACCATTGAATGTGGTTAAAGGCAAAGGGTCCCCCAGTTATATTGGTATTTTCATGCTGAATATGTAGTCGTGTACAAATTAGTATACCTACAAGAAAAAAAAAGATACTCGTTATGTTCTGTCCAGAGTTGATGTATTTTTGAAACGATTTGAATAAATAAATATTACACTAAATTTTGATCGAGTCTACGATAAATTATGTCGGCAGTAATATCCGATTTAATCGAATGCAGCTAAATGCTTATCACTATTTGGTTCGGAAGTAAATGTGTTGCCAGTTGTCAAGATTTGATCGATAACACTATAGGTATTGTTTTTTATTATTATCTTATTTTGTTTATGAAAATGGAAAAAATGTTTATAATGAGTTCTCACGCAAATATCGAAAAAGCTCTGTTCGATAGTCTTGTGGTTTCAAATTAAGACAAAAGACCATGCGAGTACGGACAGTGGCTTTTAGTCTCTATAAAGATATTATTTGTCCATAAATCACACTAATATTATAAATGTGATAGTTTCTTTGTTTGAATGTTTATCCGTCAATCGTTGAAACTACTGAACGAACTTTTACAATTCCCATTCCCGTGGGATTAAAAAGTATGTGTTATTCCAGATAACAATCTACCCCTGTATCAAACATCGTCTCTATCATCTTAGCACTTTTGGCGTAGTTGAAACAAACATACCACAAACTTTCTAAGATGGTTGTACACACGGCTACACATCGAGCTTTACATAACCAGTATAAACTGAACGTTAAATGTGCGGAAAGATGATGCGACGCGACACCAAGATAAACTGGTTTTGTATGGATTGATGTGTGGCCGTGTGTACCAAGATAATAATATATTGCTTACTGATTTGGGTGCATATTCTTGAAACCAATCTCAATGTCAATACAATATCAATCCAATAAAATCTCAATAATTATCCAATGTCATAACTATACAGTATATCGTATCTGTTAAAGTAGCATTCAGAATACGGAATATAAAGCCAAACTCACTACTAATTGGTTCATGAAATATCCACGCAATACGGATTCCATGAGCGCTAGTGTTGCAACTCAATTGTACGAAATTTCTCAATGTCAATGTCGATTGATCGGAATTGGATTAAAGGTACTGAAGAGAATATATTAGGATAAATATAAATAAAACAATTTAATAAAATTCAATATTTTATTTCCATTCCAAAAGCCAACATACCGTAATGCAATCGATTAATTATACGTTCTCAAATCCTTCAAAGGAAAGAAAAAATTAAATGCATTTCCATAGCATGTCTATTTTCTTCCAATTATCTAGTTAAACACTAAAATATAAAAATTAAAAGAAATATGACACACTACTATGGGCATTGACTGCCTTATTAGGAAAATAATAGAATGTTTGAAGTACTTTCGCTGTGGTTTTTTTTACAATGAAATAAAATTTAGAAAGCCTACTTTGGTAGGGTAAAAATAACACGAAATACTTTTGTTACGCAAACCACAAGGAGAGTGTACTTAATTACAAACTAATTATACATTCGTTATAAGAATGCGCCACACAAGACAGTCATACTAAGACATTTTACATTTGTCCTTCTTGGACAGCTCACACATAGAAAGCAAATTAAAATTTTACACCAATAGATACGCTACAACAAACATGGTAGAAATATAACATTTTCAATTACGAAATAACTTTTCATAATTAAGTATAATATATAATATATTTTTCTAGTTTTCAGATCGAATTCAAGACTTTTGTTTAAAAACACAGAAGGTAGTTTGAGCAAAGTAATGTAATGTATCTTGTCTATTAGAGAGACTGTTGATAGTAGTTCTATTTTATTTTAATGTAAACGAATTAACACTTATTTCATTTTCATGTTAGCGTTATACAAAATCATAGGTCGGTTAAGTATCTTACGATTGGGCAAATATATACCACGCTTATAATTATGGTATTTTTTTGACCACGTACCTGTGATATTAATATACCATGTAAGCGTGGTGTATTTTTGACCCATCGTCCAAAAATGAACAATTGAACACAGACAAAAACTGTTTCTCGCGTGTTATTTTTTTATTTACGAAACCAAAAAATAACACACCGAGGAGCAGTTTTTGGAGTCTAAATTTTTAGTAATCATATAACATAATTAATAATAATGACACTGATTTAGACTGAAGCCAGTCTTTCTAGATTTTGAAAGACATATATTACTTAATAATAATATATTAAGTTGTAAATAAATATTATAAACGATACACATACATATAAAATACATTAAGTTTAAATCTAAGTATTAATAAAATGTCATTAAGTTCATGGCTAAAAGAGAGAAATAATTGACATTAAATACTTAGGTAATTAAAAATAATTCAACAAATAATTGGCAATACAATAAATAATTAAACATATTTAAAACTAAATATCATAAAATAAAAAGTCAATAACAATGAATATAATAAATTCTAATTTTATTAAATCAGGCACATAATTATTTATTCAATGGTATTTAAAATGAAATATTTGGAACAGGTAATTACATAATTTCATGAGAATAATTTGCATTAAAAGAACAAAAACATGGATATAATTTTACAAACATTCTAAATTAGATATTATTCTTACTTGGCAATAGTGTGGGAATTTAACAAATTAACTGATTTGAGTTTTAGAAGAGAAAGAACAAGCGGCACATGTTATAATTATTGTGATAGTATAACGGGGCCTGCCACTTTATTACAAAAGTCTAAGGTTTAAATTTTATTCGAGAAATGTGACATCATTACGACTAATCGGTAGATTTTTGTCGATAACAATGTCGAGACTGCCGTTGATTATAATCTGTGTTTTTAGCGCGTTATTCATTTTAGTCTATGGAGAGAGAATGAAAAGTTTGTATCTAATCAAATTGATACACTTTTGCCGCGTAAAACTTTTCGTTATAATGATACCTACATGTTTTATTATTAAGATAAATGACATAATATAGTATAATATGGATATGTATTGAATCAAATGTTGATTAAATTGATGCACTAGTTTTATATCAGTCTTTATAAATATTCTTCAGGTAAGGCCACTCTGTAACTTATAAAACGAGAGCTGATAGTTTTCCGAAGTAGAAGTAAATCGTTGTCTAAATATTTTTCAGCGACTTTTTCGTAATATATTGATATGAATTAATAATGATTAGGTACCAGTCAAAGGTAAAAAATGTTCTAGTGGAGTTGCTCTGTGGGCCCACTAATTTAGTAAGCTTTGATTATAAAATATTAAATATACACAGGGTATATCATAATATTATCAAGATATAATCCAGAATAACTCACCAAAACTTAACTGATTTGTCAATAACATTACGAAAAAGTTGCTAATGTTTTTTTTTTATAAATATATTAGTTAGGTAGGTATTTTGTAGAATATCTGTCACACAGCGCATTCTCACCTATTTTAAGTAACCTATCAAATAATTGTACTAAAATAGGCATGCTTCTACTCTACGTACAAACTTAGGAAACGTTTGTCAATGTTAGTACATTATACTAAAATATAGACTAACTATTTTGAACTTCATCTGATACAGATGATTACCTACTTTTTTTTTTGGAACACCTTTTTTTTCTATTTGAACTTTTTTTGCTATGAGCAATTAAAAATGTCTAATATTGCAAATGGACCTAAATTAACTTCTGCCTTACAAAGGTTAGTCATTCCAATAGACACATTTAAGTAGTTTCTTCTTGAAAATGTTGTTAAAAAACGTATCTAATAATAAATTGGTTACTTCTACACATCATCAGTACCTACGTCATTTTTTTTTCAAATTTCTCCATTGGTACGTACATTCCTATATTAGTAACAATGTCAATCAACGCCTCAATTCATTTCAAATCTTTTCTACCTAATCGTCAAAAAAAGTTAGTATAATAATAAAAATTATTGCTTCACGCAATCCACGCTACCGTCATTCCGATAATTAGTTTATCTACCGTCAATAAACGTCTTAGTACCGAAGCCTTGAATACTTCAATTGGCATTAGGAGCACAAATAGTGTGCTGAATACTGCAAGTACTGCAACCCGAAGGTTTAAGCTAATACTAGCTAGAAATCGTCGCATGTGTGTGAACACGTTTTGTGTCAGTGTTCAGACTGGTGGTGGACCGCGTACGTAGCGCAGTTGAGGAGTCAGGGTCTGAGCTAGAGAGTTCAGGGCGTCGCAGCATCGTGGGCGTTCGACCAGCCAGGCGGCTAGGAGCAGGGCCACGAGGCACAACTGTATGGGCAACGAGGACCGAAGGACTCTCCATACCCAACCTCCGCGGGGACTGTAGTCAGGGTCGCCTGAACCAGTTTTGCTGCTTGTCACGGCAGCAATCGTTTTGTCCCTGCTGAAGAAAACAATAGATACATATAATAAAAGTTTATAGAAGATAATAAGAAGATCAAATATATACTTAGATAGGTATTCTTCTTCATTAAGTATTTAAATTCATTCAATTTACCTTTCCTCCTCAATCTTAAGATCCGGAATGCTGAGTTCTACTAGCGCACGGCACGATTCTTGCAACGTGCGCACTTCATTCTCAGTTTGTTCCATACGCTGAAACAAATAGGGTGAAGTTAATATAGGTGAAATTCCCGAAAAGTGTTTTAAGCAATTCTCAACTTAATCTCCAGTTACATAAAAGTAGGTTTAAAAATGTATCCTTTTGAATAACTCAAGCCTCAATTTGATTGAATACATATTTTTTAGGTCTTTTCAAGTTCATATTTACCTTTGCTATAGCTCTCTGAGCTGGCGAATTAGGTGCTAGAGCAGCTTGCAGCCGTCTGGCTAGTTCCCGCAATGCGCTAAGCCGTCTGGCACGTCGTCCAGCACCATCGCTGTCTCCGTCCGATATACCGGAGTCGGACAAGGAGTCGCATGTTGAACCACCCTGTAAATATTATGTTCATGATTTTGTGTCACGTTAACCGAAGACAAATCAATACGTTACAATTCTATTTGCATACCAATAGTTTATATCAAAAAGGCATGTACGATTTTATAAAGAAGACTGTATGCCTTATAGCTGTCGCGGAGAACCTAACGGGTTACCGGGGCTCCGGCTCGACGTGTAGGTACGGTGTAGGAGAAGGAACGGGGTGGTTTTTAGTCAGTACGAGTCTATCACTCCCTCCCGCCTCACCCAGGCGGGAGCAGTCATTCGATGATTTTCCCCGCATAAAAAAAACCTTGTAGCTAATTTCAAAACCACTATCAGTTCTCTTTACCTTCTTTTTATCCACAAGTGACGCAGCCAATTGCCTTATTTGAGCGGCAACTTCGGTTTGGTCCCCAGTTACAGCACCACGGTCCCTTAGTGATTCCAATGTCGCCAGGTCTCCTCTTAGAGCACCCTGAAGTTCCCGGAGAGCACTTTCCCATTCTGCCCAAGCGCAAACCGCTTTTTCCAGAGATAAGAGTTCGTTTGAAGTCCTGGAAAGAGATCAGTGTCTTAGAAACGCTTCTACCCATAAAGTTTTTACAGGAATCTCATCTTTTCTTATTATACCATTAGGTAAATGAGTCTATCAGTAGATTCTGGAGACATTTCTAACAAAAAATACTTCACACTAAATCTTATTTGAACCGCATATTTTTTGGGGTTCAATGAATCGCCCGCAGAAATTACCAGACTTGGATGTCATTGTACTTAGTGAGTAATGATGCGACTTTAAATGATTCATTCCAGACATAGGTATTGCTTCACGCTCCACTAGTTTACAGCTTTTGTTTATCTGCAACCCAGGTGTGGTCGTTTTTGGCGACAGTAATGAATCAGCTAGTAATTCGCTATAGAAAATATTTGAGAATTGTATACTGTCACGGTTTGGAACTTATAATATCTACCTAATTCTTCTTTAAATAAGCCTTTCGTTTGAGTAGCGAGTTTTTCGATGCTGGATATTATTCTTTAATAACGATTTATTGAAGTTTTACAATTTATTTAGTGTTCAACCTAAGAACTTTATCGGAATCAGATTCAAATAAGACCACAACTACCAATTTTGACGCTTTATTTGTTCTGAGTGGTGATTTTCTTAAAATATTGAACTCGACTAGCCATTGTCAACTTACCGTTGATGAGCATCATCCCACGCAGAAAGCAGTGATGCCAGGTCAGCAGCCAGTCCTCCGTCATCGTTCTCCATGTCACCGAGTGCACGACGCACTGACACAGTCAGCTTCAGCATCGACACTTTGCATTCTAGCAGACGAGATAGACGTTCCTGGAAAGAAGAATACATTGAAATTTGAAAGAGCTAATAAGATAATTATGGTTAGATGGCATTCGTTTTCTAGATTGCTCATGTCCTAATTTCAATTTCAGATCCGACTATATGAATTTTGTTGAATTCTATACCTGTATGAACTGTATCTAAACCTATGCCATTTTAATGATCAAAGAATAAATTGTACGCAAAATTACTAATAATACCTACATTGTAATAAAATCCAATAACTTCATTTGTTCTTTAATGTTTTATCATTATCTAAATGTGAATACTATTATGTGGAACCTGTTCAATTAACCGAAATAGATTACATAATTATTTCACATAAACCTCGTTACTAAGCAATTAGGCAGTACCTAATCAAGAAATGGAGTATTTAGTTTTACAAATAGGATAGTAAATTCGTTAGAAAGGCTTAAATACCACGCATATATATTTATCTAAATCATTAAGGAAATTAAAATAAAGAAAAGTGAATACTTATAGCTGAATGCGTATTTTGTTAGGCAGGATTAACGTTTCCGCATGATTGCGTTTACGTAAAACCATAAATTGTTGAACTAAGCCCAACGCAGTATGGTTAAGTAGACATAATCCAATTCGTAACTTAATCAAATTCTTTAGAAATAGAAACTCCAATAATATGTCCTTCGCTGTTATGGTATTTCACCAATTAGCTTGGGATCATTCGGTAGATTGTAAATAGAGTTGGTTACTTCTATCTGCTTTCCACGAACCCTCAAAGGGTGATTACCTTTATCTCATTTTTAAACCTATCAGTATGGAGCGTCTTAGATAATTGTGGGACACCAAGAACTGGATAAAGATGGCTTAACGTGGTCTTTGAAACACGATGTTCCCACTTTCCTACTATTATGTACCTTCAGTTCCTCAATTCTCCTATGTAGCTGAGCCCTGGTGTGAGGTTGTGGAGCACAGTCCCCAGGTTCGCAAATATCGTCGAGTGTCTCCCGCAGTGCGGCCATTTCCCTGCGCAGGCGACGAGCACCACCGCGTCTGGTGGCCGCTGCACGGAGAGCTGACCATCTTGCAGATACAGCTGTAGAAGAAGAATCTTGTTAGTTTTGGATTTATATTTTTTAGTATTTCATGTGATAAAGTTATTTAAACCCTATAATGTAACAAATTAAGTCACCGCATTGATAAAAATAAACTATTATCTTTCCATTTGTAACTGTAAAAGACAGTTTTTATTATGAGTTATGATATGCTCTGACTGATTGTATGTCTACTTTAAAATTCAGGGCATGAACTTGGTTTAAAGAAGTCGTTTCAGAACATTGAATCCAGTGTTAAACGGGTCACTCAAACTGCAAAGGAGTTAATCTGGGACAATCGGCCAATCAACATACAAGGCACAAGTCAAGTAGTATGAATAACATGACACTCGATGTTGCCAACAAAATAAAAAAGGTACAATCAGAACATAAATTGAGAATTAGGTTGTTGTAATAACGTATTTTAAAATAAACACCACTCTTTAAACTCCTGAACAGTTACAAAGGTTCTAAGTACTTTTATATTATTTAAATTTTCGTAATAATGATAATAAACTCGTTTTGAGCCGTTAAAATATACGTTGTTTACGTGTAAAGGGCATAGGATGCGCTCGCGCAAGTGGGTCGGGTTGTGAGTCCGTGTTTGTATATCTGTTAGTGGGTTAATGTGCATCGCAATAATACTGGTTGAATGCCAGGTGATGCACTTTTGTTTTGTAGATTTTATTAGAATTGGTAGTGCTACTTTGATAATTCAGGCGTAGATAGACAATATGGCGTCTAAATAAATTATGTACCTATGTCTCTACTGACTATAGTCAGACATACTTGGTCTGAACTCTGAAATTGAATTCCATAACGTTAAAAACCCAACAATAATAAATATTGTCATCTGTTTGAAATCAGAGTGTTGCTACTAAAAACAGAAAATCTTGACAAACGTTTTCCCCTTGTTTATTTATGATACAAAAAGAATAAGGAAGCTACTAGCATTCTTTTGGTATATTTTCCTTAATTTTGGTAAACACAGTTGCTTGTTTCGGACATCTGATCTATTTAGAGTAGGTACCGATACTAGGTATAGTTTAAAGACTGTTGTAGTCACACAATATTCAACATATTGTGATGTTTCATTGGGAAACAAATTAAAAAAAAGGTCTGGTTTCTTTCGATGTTAACTTCTAATAAGAGAAAAGCAAGAATACATTCTTACATAAAAAAGAAACTTCGCCAGTACCTATCATACGCTTTCCATTACAGTAAGAAGGCACTTACTTCCCTACCTACCCACGTTAACGTTTCAAAATTTCAATCATCAATATTTTCAATAAAAACCTCTTTACTGTTTACGCACGTGACCATTGAACACGAACACAATAATAAAATAAGAAACAAGACGAGATCGAGCAAACCTTTCTCTCTTAAGAACGCGTGTTCCAATTGCAATGCAACTCTATCGTACGTAATTACAGGGAAATTATTCACGTATACAACAACTACAGTATTTTGACTGAAATAGAACCTTAATACGAGTGTCATTAGGAAGTTATGCAATAATAAATACGTGCTGATTATCATCATAATCTAATAGTTGCTTGTTCGGAGTTGGCCCTATTTTCCATGTGTATAATCACTGTAGGAAAACGACTGACCTAATTTTCCCTCCCCTTTAGGAAAGAACACGTGTAGTTTTGTTATTATTTATTAATGAGAATAACCGAATTAGTAGTGAATAAAAAATTCACTAACGTAGTATGAATCCAAACGATTTTATAAAACAGAACGATCGCTGATTGACGAAGTCCATGCTGTGTTTAAAAGAGTTTAGCAATTTCATTTCAGTTAGCTAAATGGAAATTGTTATTTCAAATACGAAGGTATAAATAGTACAGATTCGTTACTTAAGCTGATAATTAATAAAGGAAAAAAGACTTGAATTAAAACATAACACAAATTTGAAGTAGAAATCTTCGACCTACTAAAACAAGCAACAGATCTTAAACAAGAAATAAACGTTGACATAAATAAAGAATATTGCACAACAAAACCAGAAATATAACTTAATACATAAGGAACTATAAATTAAATTATTATACAACGATCATCAAAGAAAACTGGTTTCAGAGGAAGAGAAACAGTCGTAAGTGCTGATAGTCATCTTGGAGCGGAAATTGGCGATATCTTGGTCTAAACCCTTCATCAGAGACTATTTAAAGACATAACTGTGATACCGGCTTAACTAGATAATATAGAGTTAACGGAGGAGAATAGGGACTTACAATATAATAATAATAAAAAAAATATACTAAACTTTATTCCATTAGCAATATGTAATAGTGGAGGAAAGGGTAACTGGTAAGTCATAGACAAAAAAATGGGCGACATAAACAGTGACGTCATCGCCGTTTTGACGAATCTCACTTATCTTCATTATACTTCTGTTTATCAATTACTCTAGACATATGTTTGTACTCTACCTCTATTTTTTGTTGTTTACACTTATATTTTAGCTACAATATTACCCATGCTAGACCTAACATCGGCTACCTCTCTATTACGACGTCTGATCAGATATAGTACGTAATTTATCAGTATGAATTACTGTATCTAATCAGCGAGGCAATTTAATCTATAATTTGCAATAAAATACCATATAGAGGTGGATTGGTTACCATTTTCTATGCTTAAGAAGTCGACTTTCAATTTTCAAGTTCACAATATGATTGATGTTGTCCGTTGTAATCTGATAAATGAGAATGAGGATTAAACTGGTGTATCAGAACTCAGAATTATGATAAGTTTAGTTTAGTAATAATTTATTTTAAACTAGCTTCTGCTGGTGGCTTCGCCAGCGTTGCTGTGGGATAAAAAGTAGCCTATGTGATATTCCAGACCATAATGTTTAAAATTTCACCCCGATCCCTTCAGCCGTTTCGACGCGAAGGAGTAATATAATTTTTTTTTTTAATAATGTATCTAGAAACTAAACTGATGTCGGAACCGCTGTTTTCATTCAATAATTTTTATACATACGTAATTTTGCAAAATGGATGGGGTGTCTAACAAATGTGACTAGTTGGTACAAGGACGGAGGGAGGGGCAAAAAATCATGAAATTCGTGTAACGTAATTTATGGATGACCCCTAATATTAGTAGGAACGATTTATATTGGACTACATATGTATACTTCCTCGTTTTTAACTTCAGGTAGTAACACGGAGTCTAGATTTACTAGTATATTGCAACAGCCATGCTCCATATTACGTGGGATTTATCAGCGAAAGGTGACTGGGAAAGAGATTGTCTTATATTTTGCAAGGACTTTCCTAAAGAACAATACATGTATAGGTACAACACGCTTGTCCAAAGCTTGCTCGTGAAATATTTTTAGTCTATTTGTCCTTATTGCATTCAGAAATGATATTTTTGTCTTCTTAAGGAAGAAGTAAAACGCAAAGTGCATGTTTTACAACTGCATTCGTCGTAAACCATCCATAAATCAGAATAGATACGACAAAGCTCAGGCGGCGTACGCGCATCCAAAATAGCGCCTTAAATGTCGCTGGGTCCATGAACTTGGTCATAATCTTGCGAATTTGGATTTGGAGTCAACGAACTTGGGACATTTCGCGGATGTCTAGACATCTGGTCTTACTTTGGTCAGTTGCAAATAAATCTAGAGGAAAGTCGAAATAAAATCGTTTCGAAGTAATGTAATTAATGTATGTGACATGATGAATCAGTGTCGTACATATGTTGCTATGTTGCGTGACTTCCTTTCTTATTCATTCTGATTCTGACATTGCTGTTGGTAGATAACTAGTTGTAGATTGCTGTTGGTAGACAACCGCTCTCAAAGATTTGAGCATGTGTGTATATAAGAAATACAATTAGACACCGATTCAACAATTTCATATCAATATGTAAATCAAAATGTATTTCCGTTCGTTAATGTCGCTAAAACTCGCGAACGGTTGAACCGATTTGGCTATTTTTGGTATTGAAATGTTCGTGGATGTCCAGGGAAGGTTTAAAAGGTGAGAAATTATTTAAGACGGTACGGAGTTTGCCGGGGCAGCTAGTATTTTAATAAAGATGTACGTTTCGTAAGATGTACGTTTCGTACCTACATCCCATTAGGTTCTATTAAATAAATAATTAGCATCTTTGCTTTGCTTTGTTTAGCAATAGGATGTGAAATTCATTACCTATCTACGCCGTATATTTTAAGGTTATTAACCTATACCTAAGAAATATGAATAGACATTCATGCAGTTCAGTAATATTTACATAACTCGCAGATATCGTTTTCTATTACACGGAACGAGATATTCGTATTCATTGACATAGGAATTCCTTTATGCACTACAACATACGTTATCAAATATTATTTAACTACCTATGTCGCAACTGCATTAAAACGAACACAATACAACTTCGCATTTACAAGAACGCTGGGAATTTTCATACAATAGAAGAGATTTGTAATCGATTTATCGACGAACATTCGATTATATTATTGGTTAGTCGCAACGCAATCGAGTAATTCTGTATAGAAGGGATGTGGCGAAATCGCGACCGATTCAATTCAAATATGGAGCAAACAGTTTTGCGTTCCGCCAAGAACGGAAGGCAATTTGTGGGTAGAGACGTAACGAACATATCGATAACCATTTTTGAAAGATGTAGGGACTCTGGGATACAGATTGTAAATGATACAAGGAAATAAATATAGACAAATACAATTGTGCGTGGTTTCGGTACGAATATATGTATAAGATAGGTACCTACTTGAGCAGAGAAAAGTGGGCTGGAAGATTTCAAGAGTTAGAGATTTTGTGCATAGAAAGACATTTAAAGACGCTTAATACGATATGATGCCAACGATAGCCAACGAAGTAAAAATCTATTGATTTTATCGATATCGTATTCGGCCGGTTTGCACCCCTCCATACGTATGACTCGTTCGTCAGTCGAATTCAACGAGCTATTACCGCTTCCTATGGACTGCGGGTCGTTTGGGAACTAACAGAATCTTCCT